TGTATCCTCCCCATCATAACCTATGGCTAAAACCTTGAACTTAGACGGTAGTATATAAGATAACTGCACAGAGAGCCATGGAACGCACCATGCTTAGCATTTCACTGTTGGATTGAATTCGCAAAAAAACTATTCAAGTTAGCACCAATGTGATTGATATAGCCCATAAAGCATCCAGATCAAAGTAGAGATGGGCTGGCCACATTACCCGCAGAACAGATGGTAGATGGCCACTTAAGGTCGCTAACTGGAAACTAGACCGTACCTTTTTTACGCGTAGAAACCCCGTCGGGCCGTCACCCCCTCGAGGTTTACGGCGGGGTGGTGTGTCGGAATCGGACTGACTAAAACCACACGGTATGGGCCATCACCCCTCCGGGGTATGCGGCGGGGTGGTGTGTCGGAATCGGACCTACTAAAATCACACGGTGTGCCTCTGCGCCTGTAATAGGAGGGATCCGGGAACTGCTGCTAGCACCTGCCCACGACGGCGCGGGCACCAGCTTCGGGTAGCCTAGCCTATTTGCCATTCCCTACACAATAATTATCACAGTTCACTGTAATTTGGTCCCATGTCTAGTGTAAACCCCGGATGAACAAACGCAGAGTTGAAAGACAGCCTGCCCGCTGAGTTGAAGACATCGCCAAATTAGCGTGAAGTGGCTACATGCGAATGACACGGAGCCGCAATACTTGATGTGCTCAAAAAGAAGCCTATAACCAATAATGGGTGACCAAAAGTTTAAGAAATAGAAGATATTATTATCATTAAAGACTAAGACCGTTGGTCTAGTCATCTAACGGATCACGGATTACATTCCCACCCAAGACAAATATTGTGTGATGAGCATAATTATTTGTTCTCTGTCTGTGTGTAATAAAAATTATCTTTTTTTTTATGGTATATAAAACGAGCAGACGGTTCACCTGATGGTAAGCAACTACCGCCGCTCATAGACACCTGCAACTCAAAAGTCACAAGTGCGTTGCTGACTTGGAGTCCCTCCCGCTCGAGTCAGCGGTAATTTCACTCACTCTGTGAAAGGCAACAAAAGAATTGCTTAACACCGGTTAAGCAATATCTTATCTATAATATGTATGTATTTAGAAATATATAGGTTTGTTTTTTGGAAATATATTTGCCCGATTGATGACAATTTGCTTGCCACGTGTAACGTAAATGGGCTAAAAATATATTCGATAAAATGTGGGCGTTTAACACGCTTCAGTTATATCACACTACTGAAGTCCTTTCAGAAAAAGCTAACGGTAATCTTCTATACAAATAAATAAAATTGGAGTGTCTGTTTGTAATATTAAAATAACCGCTTTTTACTAAATACATGTGTATGTTTACACGGTACATATGCCAAAATAACATTTTTTACAATTTTTGTCTGTCTGTCTGTTTGTTCCGGGTAATATCTGGAACGGCTGGACCGATTTCGACGGGACTTTCACTGGCAGATAGCTGATGACATAAGGAGTAACTTAGGCTACTTTTTTTAGGCTAGCATTGCCCCGCGGCGTTGCCCGCGGTTATAACAACAAACGCGGGTAACACCGCGGGTCTCAGCTAGTTTAAAAATAAATGTGTCCCACAAATAAGTCTCGGAGCGACAAACACAGCACGGAACAGTTCGTTTGCACTTTTATTGTCATCTGATACTGCCATTACTGATAGAGAATTTCATTCTTGTACACAGACAATATCGAATTACTTTTTAAATATATACATCATTTAAAAAAGATTCGATGTTGTCTTTGGATAGTCCTAAGTTTTTGTGAAGTAAATGCAGGTTTTACAGTACAATAGTTCTCATTGATATGCATGTTTAATTGTTTTTGCTTGAAAATGCTAATGACGTTTAATTAAATAACAAACATATATACACTCATGTCCTTGTCCTAGAACGGTCAAATATCGTGCTCATGACACATTCTTTATCGAATATATATTATATAATATATATATATATATTATATAATATATATTATGAATCGAAGCTACAACACTTGTAGTGGCTTAGTGGTAAGGTGAACACTATATCCGTTGCGTCATTCATTCATATAATTTAACTATTATTAAACTATATTAAACTATATATTTCACCGTCATCATCTCAAATCAAATCAAATCAAATCAAATCTCAGCCAAAAGACGTCCACTACTGTACGTAGGCCTCCCCAAGGTTCACCGCAACAACCGATTCTGTGAATTTCACCAGGTCGTCTTACCACCTATATTAAAAATAATTTTCTTAATAAATTATTAATTACTTTTTATATATTATTGCGCGTATTACTTAAATTGAATAAATATATATATTTCGCGTGAGACGGGATGTACGTAACTGCTCACAGTGGTCCAGTCACTTTAGACGACAATTGTTTTTGCAAGCTTTAATTTAACTTGCATCTTTGTTCGGATGAAATCTTGCAACTGAATTAAATTATGAAAAATTACAATCAATAAATAAATAAAGAATATATATATGTATATCTTTTTATACTATTAATTTATTCTATAATAGTTAACACAGTAGAGAAAAAAGCCTTCTTATTTGACCCTGTCGTCTTACGTTCGGTTCTGAAGAACAGATAAACACAAAAACTGATTAATTGGTATGTCAAACCCTTTGTCAATTTTCTACTGAGTTGCTGAAAGTAAAATCAGGCACTCTATTTAGGTTACGGAACAGTTGACACAGCTGTCAAATTTTACTTTAAAATTGTATGTCAAAACGCTATTCGAACTTTAATTTGAAGTGTATCATAGACTAGCTGCCCGGCCCGGCTTCGCACGGTTAGTAGTAGTTGACATACTGCCGGGTCCAATTGTATTTTTAAATCATCCAGGAAAGCATCGAAATACCCATATGAAATTTCAACCCAATCAGTTCTGCCGTTTAGAAGTTATGTGAAAAAGATAAGTACGAAAGAATAATTCTTACTACCCGTTTCCTTTTTCCCGTAGGAATGAAGCATTTTCCCGCAGTAAAAAGTAGCCTTTGTTCATCAGGGATAATGTCGGCTTCTAATCTACTATATAAAAATAAGTCGGGTTTTCCTTCCTGACGCTATAACTCCAGAACGCACTAACCGATTTCCACGGTTTTGCATTCGTTGGAAAGGTCTCGGGCTCCGTGTGGTTTATAGCAAAGAAAATTCAGGGAAAATTTCAACAGAAAATCGGGAAAATCTTTTTTCACATACAGCGCTACAAACCAATATTTTAAGTAGATGGCGCCGGTGCGTGATACATTGTTTGACAGCTACTCATTGTTCTCTCCTCAGTTAAATCGACTGCACGGATGGCGTAGTGGTTTAAGCGGTCGCCACGCCGCTTCCTACTACGCCGAGTGTTGTGGGTTCAAACCCCACATGGGACGACACTTTGTGTGATCCACAAATTGTTGTTCTGAGTCTGGGTGTTCTTTGTGTCCGTTTCATGTATGTTTGTAAACTCACCCGCGATACAGGATTTATTCGTAATGCGGGCGTTGTCTTTTAAAAAAAAAAAAAAAAATTTCCTGTGACAAACCGGTATTGTGTTCACTGTGAAATTGTGAAAAAAAGTAAAAAAAATAAGTTATTCGTTTCCTAACATTTCAATTGGAAACCATCAAATCAATCACGTGTATTGTGCAAATTTTTATTCAATTTCAACAGCAGGCATTTGTCTTTAAGGTGGTAAGTTGAACTGTGTAAATTATGTGGATCGTGCATTTGAGGTTAAATTCACCACTCTGTCCATAGTCCAAAATGCCTAGAGGACGACGTGCGAACATCGGCCGCCGCACAAGACATGCAAGCTAGCAGCAAGTGTATTCACAGAACATAAGCGAAGAAAGAGAAAATATAATAAGAGAAAATGCCCGATTGAGACAACGCGTGAGCACACGAAGATCATTGGCATCATACAATCGCTTGGCATTCCAATATGATCCCACTGCGAACTACAGTGATGATAAAAATTTAGATATTGGACCAATGACGACTATATGCCGATATTGCAATGCGTTAAAGTTCAAAAGAGAAACGGCTGGATTGTGCTTCGCAAGTGGAAAAATCAAACTGGATCCATTACTTACACCACACAGCCACTGAAACCATTGTTCGATGGAAGTGATCCCGATTCCAGCCATTTTCTTCAACACATCCTTGAATACAATAACTGCTTTCGCATGACTTCCTTTGGAGCTAATATCATTCGAGAAGGCGGCTTCATGCCGACTTGCATGGTAAAAGATACAACACACATAACCAATCACTCACACCAACACAATGAATTGCAACACATAACAACTACATATACACCACACACTACACCATCACACGATCAGAAGTTACACCGTATTCTTCAACAATAGATTGTTTGCAATTACAGATACAAGGACAAATATATCATTTGCATGGTTCAATGGTACCAACACCAGATAAACCGCATCAATTTCTGCAAATATATTTCATTTCGTCGATGGTGGATCAGCTGAATGTGCGGTGCAATATAGGGAACACAACAGTTAAAGAGACGAATTATTGAACAGTTGCAAGCATTTTTTCACGCTAATAATGCTGTGGTTAATATGTTCAAAACAGCATTGGAACGAATGCCATCGGATACGCACAAATTTGTCATAAGAGCGGATTGTACCCCAACAGGTGAACATGTGCGAAGATTCAATGCACCCACCGTTAATGATGTTGCTGCAATTATTGTTGGCGATACAACTAAATCGCGAGACATTGTCCTTCAGCGAAGAAGCAATATCATGCATCGTGTAAATGAGACACATCGTTTGTACGATGCGTTACAATATCCAATCATTTATTGGCAAGGGCAAGACGGATACGACATCACGTTGAAGATGGTCGATCCAATTACAGGTACAATATTCACACACTAATTATTGATATTATTGCTATTATTGGTTTCCATTAACAATTCATTTAATTTTGCATTTTCAGGCGTATCAACGAACAAAAATCTAAGCGCCATGAATTACTATGCGTATCGTATGATGATTCGTACACATGAGGAGAATGTCATTCTGAAGTGCCGTCGGCTATTCCAGCAATTCGCTGTCGACATGTATGTCAAAGTCGAGACCGAACGTTTAGCGTTCATCCGATTCAATCAGGCAAAGCTACGATCTGAGGACTATATACACTTGCGTGCTATTCATTCAGATGGTGATGTTCAGAATATTGGACGTCTGCCGATTCTCCCATCATCTTATATCGGAAGCCCACGCCACATGCACGAATACGCTCAAGACGCTATGACGTACACACGTGCGAAATTATAGAACTCCGGATTTATTCATTACGTTCTGAAGTGGATGACATCATATCAGCTGAAATTCCTGATCCAGTCACTGATCCCCATCTACACGACATTGTGACGACACAGATGGTGCATGGACCGTGCGGTGCATTAAATCCATTATCGCCTTGCATGGCTGATGGAAAGTGCACAAAACGATATCTGCGACCGTTAGTTGCTGAAACAGTCACAGTTTATCGTCGGCGTTCAAAAGAAGATAATGGTCGAACTATCAAAGTTAAAGTTCAAAATCAAGAGATTGAGATCGGAAATGAATTCATTGTACCATATTGCCCGCTGCTATCACGAATTTTCGAAACACATGCAAACGTTGAGAGTTGTCATTCGGCCAAATCAATCAAATATTTGTGCAAGTACGTCATAAAAGGCAGCGACATGACTGTGTTTGGTATTGCGTCGGAAAATGCGAATGACGAAATCAGCAACTTCCAAATGGGCAGATATGTCAGTACTAATGAAGCACTGTGGCGATTATTGTCATTTCAAATTCATGAAAGATATCCCACAGTTGTACATTTAGCAGTGCATTTGGAAAATCATCACCTTTATGGAATAACGTAAAAACATTATCGCTAACCACTAATATGAGAGTTCAACTGATCAAAGTGCTGCATAATTTTAGAAACAATTGTTAGCTGTTGGAAATGGAAAAGTCCCAGTTGATGCGACATCTGGATTAATTACTCTTATTTTTATTGTAGACTCTCAATTAGCTCTTATTGAAAATGTTTTCCCAAACATTAGTGAGAATTATCAGAATTATGCTTGGTTAAGTCAACGAGCAATTCATGCCGCAAAGAATAATGATGTACACGCACTGAATTTCACCATTCAATCAAAAATTGCTGGCGATTTGGTGACATACAAATCCGTTGATTCCGACTGATCTTCCGTTTGACTTCAAACGATTGCTTTTTCCACTTCGCCTTGCGTTCGCAATGACAATTAACAAGTCGCAAGGCCAATCGCTTAGTGTTTGCGGGATAAATTTAGAAAATCATTGTTTTTCACATGGGCTTTATTTGTGTTAACGTCAGACCAAAAAACAAAAGATGTGGTTTACCAAAGAGCACTTCAATGAAACGGATAATTTGCGGACACGTATAACGCTTCGATTCAGTATTTACTTTGGATTCACTTTCATTTACTTAGAGAAGTTCAACTAAATAACACTTCATTTTTGTAATCGAAATGAATTCATTACTGTTGTGAAATGAAATAATTTTTTTCCTTTTCAAATATAAAACTAAAAAAAAAAATATTCTTCTTCTTTTAATCACCAAACGAAATGTTACATAAAACGAAGCCATCTGGTGGCGAAACGGAGTTCGCCGGGTTTGCTAGTGGTAAAATATTTTTTTCAAATCAGTCCCGTAGTTTCGGAACCTGTTTAATACAAACAAACAATCAAATCTTTCCTCTTTATAACATTAGTGTAGACTAGTATTTTTTTTAAAACGTTTACCAGTTTCTCCAAATTGATTTAACGTCACTGTGAACTTGGCAGTTCTGTTAGTTGAAAATTTTTGAATCAGCCTTTTATAAACGAGGTTTTAATCCCCTTTGTAAAAAGGTATAAAATCTGTAGCCCTCACATCTTAACGTTGTTTAATTACATTTTGAGTCTTTTAGTCTATTTTTTGCGGAGGCATAATAGGGGGAAACGAGCGTGGGTCAGCTGATGGTAAGTGACAATCACCGCCTATGGACACCTACATTTCTAGAGACACAAATGCGTTGACAACTTTTGTGTGCCCTCGCCTGGATTTACAAAAGAAACGCACCATTTTCTGTAAGTCTGTGTTATATCACTGACATTCTGCTGCACTGCACTGCATGACTCTTTCACGACAGGTTCAAGCAATCAGCGTGAACAGTCTTTAAGTCTGATTACCTACATATTGATTTGAAGACAAAAATAAGTAACAATGGACGATATTCTACGTCATTCTGTGCCTATTAGGGGCAGTTCAAGAAGGCTTTACTCGTCAGAAGTAATGGAAAATACATTTGTCGGTATCCAATGCGCCAACGAACAGGTGCTTTGAAAACTTTTTAATTGAAGAATCTTTTTAACAATTTCCTATTTGGTACCTTTATTCGAATTAGTTTTAAGTATGAAAACAATGTTCAAATTCTTACTTAGCGGAATATTTTCTTTCATTCGAAAGGGCATCAAAAAACGCATTATTTAGTGAAATAAACATTTTAATTTTAACAAATACATATATATTTTAATTTATATAGGAAAGGAAAAGAATTATAGTCAACTCATTTTCTCATTGGATGAAGATCAGTTTTTATTGCATGTGTGGCGTAATGGTAAGCAGTCACCTCGCCGCTTCGAGTATTGTGGGTTCGATCCCCGTATCAGACAACACTTTGTGTGATCCACAAATTGTTGTTCTGAGTCTGGATATTCGTTGTGCCTGATTCATGTATGTTTATAAGGTCTCTTTATGGAATGTGATTGGTTCTATAGACGAATCGCTTTATTGGCTGTATTTAAAATAAAGTTTTTTGCGATTTGCGATATTTGCCCCCATAATCGGGACAGGGCTCTCATAGAGACAGCAATGCATTTGTTACTCTTGGTATTCACTTGCAATTAAATGGACTATAATACATACCATTTCATCATCATCATCATCAACAGCCTTTAACAGTCCACTGCTGGACATGAGCCTCTCATTAGAAAGGAGGCCTACTATACCACGCTGGCCAGACGGGTTGGTGTAGGGTTTATGTCAAGTTTTCCTTCTCTCTGCAGTGCTGTTGTTCTGCGTAGATTTTATTATATTTATGGTGATTATGTGATGTCATGTCTATAGACCTCTAATAATAATTTATTACAGAAAACTAGTTCCTAAACAACAAACAACAATTAATTACATTAACAATTTCATTTTACAAAATAAAGTATTTATATTAGAATTAATTATTTAAGTAACTCATTGTTTTAAATTAAACATTTTATAAAAAAAATCCTAAAACATTTAATTAAATAGTCAAATATTTTTTTTTTTTATTTAATTATATCCATTAATGATAGCTAAGCCCCACACCAATACTTGCCTGAAAATTATTATGTTTTTTTTAAATGACATCAGTAATAACAGTTTTAGTAACAAACAATTGTTACTGGCCTGTCGGTGTAGTGGTGAGTGACCCTGACTGCTACGCCACAGGTCGTGTGTTCCATTCCTACCCAGGACAAATCATTGTGTGATGAGCACGATCCTTTGTCCTATGTCTGGGTGTAATTTATCTATGGTATATGTATTTAGAAATATTTAAGTATATTTATCAGCAGTCTGGTTACCATTATATGTATAGGCACTGCCTAGTTTGGGATGAGACAGCCTTGTGTGCGATGTGTAAAGTTATGATTTAATAATAAAAACCGTAAAAACACTTGATAAAATAAAATAAAACAAGTTATTATGACAAAGCATTTAATATAATATAACTATCTACCGCCCAATTACGTATTAATAAAAAAATATTTACAAAACGTGTCGCTACATCACAGAAAAACATACTCGTATTTACATTTATAAAGGTATCACTTAAAGAAACTTGGCAAGAATTGAAGTTAAATAATAATAATAACGTGAATGAATACAAGGGGAGAACGATAAATAACGTTATGTAAATAACATGTTTTTCCTCCGCATTTACACAATTTTATACCAAATTTGTGAAGTTCGGAATACCAAAAAAGTCAATAATAAAAAAAGTTATTTACACTATACCATAAATCTAAACACCAGGAGTGCTGACAGAAGTAAAAACTTGAAAATATAAAAAAGATATATTATAACAGGATTTTTTTTTGTTTTTGTACGTAAATACACAATATACATTTATCTATTTTATAAATAGTTATATTATCAATGTATTTCAACTCAAGCTCAACTTTCGTATAAATGGGGTAGATACTTATATAAAGAGGTGTCGGTAACGGTAACAACGTCGCGAGTTTAATGGTTTTTTCCCATGTCAAAAGATACATTCTTATGTTTGTTGTTAAAAAATGCCCAACACGCCTAAAGTTTTCACTTTCAAAATATAAATACATATATATATATATAAATAAATAGTTTTTAATTTTGTAGCAGTATCATTATTTGTTTAGATATAAAGCCGTTTATGAGTGTAGTGTAAAGCATTATTTCAAAATAAGTCTATACTATACTAACTGAAGAACAGATTACAGGTACACACCGCATGGGCACGCCGTCATTGCGGCGGTAAGACCCGTTATGGAGGATTGGCTCGAGAGGCGTCACGGGACCCTCTCATACCGATTGACGTAGGTGATCACTGGGAAGGGATGTTTCGGAGATCACCTGTGTCTGATCCGCAAGGAGCCAACGCCTGAGTGCCACCACTGCGATGGCCAGACCGTGGACACGGCTCTCCACACGCTGGCAGAGTGCCCGGCGTGGGTTGAGCAGAGGCGAGACCTCGTGGCGGCCATCGGAGTGGGAGTTCTCTCGCTCGATAGCCTGATTGCGGCTATCGTGCGGAGCGAGAGTGCGTGGAACTCTGCCGTCTCCTTCTGCGAGCAAGTTATGCTCGCGAAGGAGACGGCGGAGCGGGACCGGGAGAGGTTTAGAACTCTCCCGGCCCGCCAGGCCCGGGCACGGGCCAGGCAGCGCAGGTCACTCAGGCGCCGGAGGTCGCAGAACGACCTCCGTCCTCCATAAGCGCAGGCCTGGGGGTGACAGGTGAGGCCATCTGTCACCCTAGCAGAAGCAGGCCGGGGTGGCGGCGAGCGCGTTGCGAAGCGCGCTCGCTTCCAGGGAGCACATCGAACATGGGGTTCCCACACGGGGCGGGGGTCGTCTACTCGTCTGTAGATGACCCGAGGTATGTCGGGGCACCAGGGCCTTCCTTTCTAGGGTATACCTGGTTCCCCGGCTATTAGTACCCGGCGAAGGCGTGCGGTTTTAGTCGGTTCGAGTCCGACATGCCACCGACAGGTGGTATCCGAGGGGATTTCCGCACGGAACAAAAAAAAAAAAAAAAAAAAAAAAAAGGTACACACCGCAAACGAAATACCGAGTTACTTTAACATGTATGAGTTATTTCAGTAAGTATATTATTATATGGTTTATGGTATATTAGTATATTTTGCATGTGGTGTTTACCTACATAAGTTGTGCACTTAGTTTAAGGTTAATACTATGTTCTATTTTTTACGTATGTTTTTGTGTAATAATTAATGGTAAACCCGTAAATAAATAAAATAAAATAATAATAAAAATAATTATACGTTGAATGCGTGTGAATTGTAAATAACTGGTTTCTACACTCACACATTTGCAATTGAAACCCGTTACTAGTTTCAATTTCTCTGGCAACAGGTGATTAAAAGGTATTCCTTTGCGGTATGTACGTTATATACTATAGGAATGTGTATTAAGATTCTGAGATAGACAAGCTGGTAATCCCACTTTGATAGTTAGGGCGTGATTCACTAGACAGTAACACAAATTATACGGATTAATTGACTATTGTCATACTGTATACGGTTAGTTTCGAACACGATATTATGCGCTACACGTACCTTATTGAATTATAACACAACAATTAATCTTGTAAATAGATTTGTATCTGTAATAGCACGAAAAATGGCATTCAAAAATGTATCCACTCAAAACAAATCAATTTCAAATAATTTTAGATTTAATATAATGTAAATGTCTTGAATTGTTTTTAAAAGAAATGTGACCCTAAGACCTGATTTAACAATATTTTCTTTTTTTCAAAATGACATTCAAAATATTTAAACTAAAAAAAAATTGAAGTTTCATTAATTTTCAGTTTTGAGAGGTTTTAAAAGCATGGAAATTTTAAAAATAAATTTGAACCAAAAAATGTTGTATGTCAACATTTGGTTTTATCCATTTTGATAGTGAAATTCTAAATATATCCACTTAAAACAACTGAATTTTATAATTTTCATATTCAAAAGGTTGTAAAAGCCACGAAACTATTAAAATAAATGTAAAGATTTAATTAAAATATTTAACATTTAGTTTATATTTAATGTACATCTTTAGTCCCTTTTTCTATTTTTGTTAATGACACTTAAAACTATATCCACCCAAAACAAATAAATGTTAATATTTCCGTATTTGAAACATTGTAAAAGAGTCAAAAAAATTATAATGAAATTTGAACCTTAAATCTACCCTAAAAAATGTACGAGCACTTTATATATTTCTGATCCAAAAAAATCTAACACACCGACTTCAATTAGTAAATACATAAATAATTAAGAACACTGCGATACGTAAACTAAAATACCCAGAACTAAACAGTCTCTAATTTCCGAAGCACGTTAATCTACAAAGGGACATAAATATTAGCCAAAATATTGGGGGCCATGATAGTATTTTTCAGCTCTTCGGTCTATCCTGACCAAATTTGCAGTCTTGGCGGGATACCCGTGGTGGTATATCCACTTCTTGCCCGCTCCCCGGCCACCTTTGGCCACACTTCGTTCGCCATGCTTACCGTGGTCATCGTGACCTTCTGATGCTTTATGCCCCTGTAAATAAAAGACAAGTTGAGACACGTGTTCACCATCGTTTGCTTTATAATGTTTAGCGTTTAGCCTTTTGCAAAGTGATCCTTGGACTTTATTAAAGATCAAGGTAACAAGACCGCCAATATATAGGTATAATTCGTACTTTTTTTTATAGGCAATTCTCGCACTAGAAATACTTTCTGTGTTGCGAGGGATCTCACAAACAAACATGAATTGGATACAAAGAACACTCAGACTTAGAACAATCATTTGTGGATCACACAAAGTGTTGTCCCATGAAGTGATCGAAGCCACAACACTAGACATAGTAGGAATCGACGAGCTGACCGCATATTACTGCTAATTTAAAGATGTAACCGAGTATGAGAGTTATAACATCATCGTCGTCAGCTGAATAATAGTTAGGCTATGCCATATTTCATTATTTTTTCTTTTCTGTTTTGCTAAGCAATTGTGTACTATAAATATCTCCGATATTTTTCTCATGTTTTGTGGATTTAGTTGAAGATTTCTTGTAGTATTAAGAAAACTTTAAAATACTTTTAATATAAAATAGTTTTTGAGTAAAGTATTATTTGATACATACATATTTATATATATATATTTGTACTGTAAGTAATGAAAAGTAAAGCGATTTAGGTTTTCATATAGTGCACAAATTACAAATATTTAAAAAAATATAAACGCTTTATGGTTATATATATTTTTATATATTTTTTTTTTTAAATTATACTTTTAAAGTTTCATCTTTTAAATCCACTATATATTTTTGAGCGTAGGTATTAATCAACGACCTCCTTACCGATGTATTTTTCCAAAAAAAAACATTATGTATTTGTTAAGTATTATTTTATATTTTTACGTCTTGAGTTTAGATAAAAGAAAATTGTAATTATCGTCAGCGGTATTTAAAGACCGATACGATTTACAAACCTTCAAGAAAAGAGTGTATTCCCTGTAAAATAAAAAAAGTTTAATTCAAAAGATGATATACCTTTGACACGTGCAGTAACCCGCCGTGGCCAGTGTACCCGGATTCTCCTTTGGAGTGCTCCTCGTCACCCGCATTATAGTTCGCCTTCTTGTATTGACCGCCCTGGAATAAAAGTCTCGTTAATTTTTACTTAGATGCCAGATTTACGACAGAAAATTACGATATTATATAATCTCTCAAAATAAATTCACTTTCACATTCGTATTTTGGCGGCATTTCCTATATTGACAATATATATGACACTGTCGATTGTTTAAAGACTGAAACTTTGGGTTTTTAACGTAAAATGTATGAACTTTCATCATCATCATCATCATCATCAACAGCCTATAATAGTCCACTGCTGGACATAGGCCTCTCCTTAGAAAAGAGGTGTTGGCCTGCTATACCACGCTGGCCAGACGGGTTGGTATAGGGTTTGTTTCAAGTTTTCATTCTCTTTGCAGTGATGTCCTGTGTAGTTTGCTTCCTTAGACGGATCATGACACTCGCGGCATGAATAGGGGTTGTGACCCTTCGTATTCTTAATCCATCACCACACGTACGAAATATGGTATATAAATTGTTCTTAGAAATTCTGTACACTATTTACCTCCAAGATTACGTCCATAAATTGGTTTGTTGATAGGTCATCTATATAATTATTATATATATTATATATATATATATATATTATTATTTAATTAATATGTAATACTATTTGTGCCATAAGTCATATAGGTAATTTACTCCCAACTAACTTTTATAATTTAAATTTAACAAAACTATAGAAAAGCTTTATACAAAAACTTTGGTTATTTACACGTTTTTTTTTTAGTAATATAATATTAAATCATTTATTTCACTAATACAGTACACACTAAGTTACATCAGAAAGGTAACACTCACAAATCATTTTATGCACTGTTTAATTGAAGCACTGGTAGCCATAGTAAAATTTAACTTGTTTTAATTTAAAACTTAAAGGAAAGATCAAAATTGGACATGCTCCCTAAATAACAAAAACTTTAGGCCAGAAATATGTTGTACACTTAACTCCCGTCAAAAACCTTTGCAATGTTATGCATGCTGCTGAGCTAAAATAGCCCTGAAAGAACAGCGGCACATGATGACGATATACTGATGACTGATGATGATACTATAACATTTAAGGAACGTAATATTCATTCAACTCCTAGTAGTCCCCCATAACTGCAAATCAAGTATCATAGAGAACGGATTGTCAGATCACACAGCGCAAATACTGCAATGTCGTGTTAAAAAAATCTGCCTATTTAAACGTTGGAGAGTTCGACGAAGAGACTATTGTTTGGAAAGCCAGATGAAATTTAAAGAGTGTATAAGCAAATTGACTTTTTCTGAGGTGTACACTACTGAAGACCCTAATTTAGCTTACGATACCTTCTATGATTTATTTAAACTATTTTACGATCTTTGTTTCCCATCAAGACTTATAACTATAAATGCACATAAAAAACAAAAATGGGTTTCGCGTGGAATAAAGATATGTAGTAAAAAAAAAGGACCCTTTTATGGAAATATAGGAAAAATCCCAGTGATGCTAACAAAAATAAATTTAAACAATACTCAAAAATTTATAAAAAAATTATCAAATTAACCCAGAGAGCACAAAACACTTACTCTATTAATATAGCAGATAACAAAGCCAAAACTGCTTGGAAAATTATACATAACACAAAACAAAACGTTCCAAATGAATCAATAGCCCGTATAAAATTTAATAATCAAACCCTAACTGATCCTAATGCAATATGTAGTGCTTTTAATAATTATTTTGTAGATAGAATAGTCCCGAATAATCCTAAAAATAAATTGCTTTATTCCAAGTATGTGTCCTCTAGGCAGAAATCGATGTTCTTGAAAGCTTGCTCACCCTTTAATATATTGCACATTATAAGAAACCTAAAGAACACTAACAGTGTAGGGTATGATGGAATATGTACTAGAGTCATAAAATCTGTGGCAGGTAATATTTGTCATCATATTTGTCATATTATAAATGTATGTATAGCAGCTGGAGCTTTCCCTGACAAACTGAAAGCAGTGATCATAAAACCTGTATTTAAAAAAGGAAATAGAGACAATATAGAAAACTATAGACCTATAGCCCTGGTACCTATTTTCTCTAAGGTATTTGAGAAATATATATATGGGGAACTAAATGATTACCTTGAAGGGAATTGTATTCTGGCGAAAGAACAGAAGGGTTTCAGAGGTAATAAATCAATAAACATGGCCATATATGATTTTCTTGTATTTGTAATGAAGAATGTTGACAATAAGATACCTGTTTGCTCCATATATATGGATATGACCCAAGCATTTGATCATGTAAGTCATGATACTCTACTAAGTAAGCTAAATTCATATGGCATAAGGGGCAATATCTTAGACCTGATTGAGTCTTACATTAGAAATCGCACTCAATATACTCAAATTTCTAAAATTAATAGTGTTACCAAAATAGAAGAATACTATCAATCTGAAACACGTAAAATACAATATGGCGTACCTCAGGGTAGTGTATTAGGACCATTATTGTTCCTAATATACATTAATGACCTACCTAATGTAACCCATAACCCAATAGCCCTATTTGCAGATGATAGTACAATTACTATTAAATGTAATAATAAGGATACATATAATGATGATATAAATAACGCTTTAAACTCTGTTCTCGACTGGCTAGATGTAAACAATTTAAGAGCTAACATAGGAAAAACAATGCTCATGCATTTTAGTCAGCGTATTCCTAGTATTAAAAACCTACAGATATGCGCTAACGGCCAATCTTTAAATGAAGTAGATTCCACAAAATTTCTAGGTGTAATAATAGACAATAAGTTAACATGGAAACAACAGGTAGAACAAATATGCAAGAGGGTCAGTAAATCAGTGTATGCACTTCATGAATTGTCACAAGTAATTAATACTCATGCACTTCTGACTGCATACCATGGTATGGTGGCGTCAGTTCTTAGGTTTGGTATAATTTTCTGGGGTAACTCTGTACATAAAGATAAAGTATTCAAGGTACAGAAACGTTGTGTGAGGGCAATGTTCTCTCTAAAATCAACCGACAGCTGTCTGCCCTATTATAAAAAATATAATATTTTGACACTACCATCCATTTATATACTCGAGGTAGCTATGTTTGCCAAACTAAATCCTAATTTATTTGTTTTGTCTTCTGATGCGTACGGCCGAATGCAAAGAGATAAATCCCGGCTATGCCTGTGTAAATCAAACACTGCTCTAATGCATAACAGTGTTTTCGCCATGGCTCAAAAAATATATAATAAATTGCCTAGGAATATAAAGGAGTCAAATCCGACTATCTTTAAACAGACATTAAAAAAAATTCTGAGCCAAAAATGCTATTATGATGTAAATGATTTTCTGCAAGACAAATTGTAAATCAAATTAATTTCGTTCATTGTTATTTAATTTATGTTGAACATGACAATGTGACATTTTTTTTTATTTTTATTATTTTGACTATTTGATTATTATTGTTGTTTTTTTTTTTTATTATTATTTTTTGGTTTTATTATATTGATCTGACTTAATAGCATTCATAACACTCTTGACATTATTAATTCTCTGAATAAATTTATGACATGAATATATTCTTCAAATTGTGTTTGTAATGTTGAGCGTCTAAATAATAATCTTTTAAATATCTATGACTAAATATTTGCACACCTTTAAGAGGTTATATTACAGCGTACCTATGTATTATATGATGTTCTTCTACCACCTTTATACCTGTTTTATGCAAATAATAAATGATTTTGATTTTGATTTTTGATTTTGAAAGTAGTCAACTACCTCAGCTATGAACACAAACAAGGAAACTAAAACTAACATTTTCATATCAAAGTAATCCCATACTGCTACAAAACTATTCTAATTACAAAGCATCGTAAACTTTATTGCGACTTGCTTGCTTAAGGATCAGCCAAGTTACTATTAAGTTAATCGTCACATAAACTTTAATTTGCTTATATGGGTTAAAGGGGAGTAAGTTTCTTAGTAATAATATCTAAAACGATTTATTCTTATAGTTAAATTATTGCTTCCGCTTTTTGTTAGAATTCTTAATTTTTAGCTTTAGAGAACATTAGGCGGTCAAATTTTGACAATTTTGAATGTCTTGTCTTATTTGAACTATCTTTGTATAGACTCTTCTGCCATCACAGGTCAAAACATAGGTCTATTAAGTAATTTGTACATAATTTTAATTTTATCGCCCCTTTTTCTGCTTCAAATATTTCAAATGTTATTTACTTTCATGCAACATATTTGTTTTATAAAGCCGTACAAAGAATTTTCTTCACGTATTAAAATAAGAAGGGAAAGGAATTAAAATATTGAATTAAAGAATTAAAGTAAATTTAAAGATTTACGACGAAATCGCACCAATCGTGATCTCATGTTGACAGATGAGACATATCATTTGTATTCTCTCACGAAAACCTTCAAATTAATATCATTTTTTTTTAAGTTAAAAAATAAAAGCGCCATCCAAAAGTAATACACAGCAGTCACGGCCTTTTGCTGATAATGAAATAATCGATTAACTGTACACTCAAAGTAAATACAATGATACGCTTTCCTGCAACAAACCGTTAAACCAAACCTTGGTCGATTAAAGTTACCAAAAAAAAATTAGCTGCTGGACAGCCTTGAATTTCACTGAAGAGTAAAACAGATTTTGTTTAAAAAAGTGATTGTAGTCTAGATACTTTGGAAACGTATTATTTGGCAATAAAGAAAATTTTGACAAATGATCTGTCTTGTCTTGTCTTGCTAAAATTGGTTGAAATTAGTCATTATTTCGGTCACAGTACGTTGAACCCGCTTTACAGTCTTGATTCCAACCAATTTTGTTTTCGGAATCACGATAAACGTGATTCTATATCCGTTATACATTGTATATTATTTTTGAGTAGTAACTCATTGTTTACAGGAATATTGCTATAAATTTTACTTGAACATTTTTGATCGACATTCAATGTTTCTACATTTATTGAAGTACCGCTGTTTCAGATGACTTACATCTGATATATTATTTTAAACGTTGGATTTTCTTTGAAATATAAAATTCGTAATGAGGTCATGCGATAAAGAACCAAAGTAACCGATATATGGCAATGGCAAAGGTTTGACCACATCTGCTAGAGAAGCAATGGCTGCTGTAGCAAACAAGCCTTAGAGCGGAGATAATGAATTGAAAAATAAACTGTAGGATAGCCAAATGGACTGACGACCTGTGAAAGGTATCTAAAGTGAATTGTATGCAGAAGACGGAGGACGCACTGCATTTGGCACGTTGATTGGTTGCAAACAAACCACAGGAAATAACTATACTGCTTTTATGGTTGACCTGGTTAATCTGTGCCTTGCTTTTACGTAACTTAATATCGATATTATGTAGTCTAATATTATACTTCAAGGTTAATATTAATTAGATCGTAAGAATAATAGTTTCCAAATTATTTGTCAAATGAAACCTTATACCTGACAGGGTGTAGTTAAATTTAATTTATTTAACAAAGGAACTGGATTTAACGCTTAATCAGCAACTAATTACGGAAGTTAATTGGAATTTCTCAGAGTTAGAAATTTTAACCGACCTCAAAAACGGACAAGTGTCTCAATTGGGTTGTTTTTTTTTTATGTTTTTACCTCAGAGCACAAAAAATATTTTTCCATTTGGGAGAGTAAACTTCTCGTTTGATCTCATTTAAATTTAAAGAAAAAAATACTTAGGGGTGCAAAATTAAGCAATGAAGAATACAGATTATAAGAATTCATAATGTAGGCGAATCAAAGTCAATGATACTTTTCAGACGTAATTATTTGTCCGTTCTCTGTACTCGTATTAACAATTAAAACAGCAAAGCTTGTGAAATCTCACACGATGTTTACCGGTAAGATTTCAGAGGATGCATCGAGATATTTGATCGAGTTACTCGCACCCCTGGTAGAGTACAGCGAAATCCAAAATCTTAAATTTAGTTACTATTCGATTAAGCAAAGATCAATGTGGTAATAAGAGCAAAACCAATTATTCTATTTATAGTCATAGCTTTGATCTAAAAAAAAATACGAAGTACTTTAAAAACCATATAAAAAGAAATGTGTGAAAACTCAAAAGTTACATTTACGTAATATGTACAAAAATTACATTTGTCATTAGATTTTAAAGCGCAAACACATTTTTGATACACGTAGGTATTTTAAAAGCATATCTTTTGCTATTTTGGGTGACCGTAATACCAATTTGTCCTCTGTTTTAATGTAATAAAAATATTCACTTTATTCGTTTGTTTCGTAGTACAATTAATGATCCCGTAACTTCCAATGTCCAACACAACTGTCACTTTCTCGGCCGAGCGGGCCGAAGCATGGCTGTACTATGAACAGTTGCAGGCATCACTTGATATTTTGACTTGTCCGTGTGGTAACGGATTATCTGGCCAGCGTGGTATAGTAGGCCAAAACCAGCTCTCTAAGGAGAGGCCTACGTCCAGCAGTGGACTGTCAAAGGCTGATGATGATGATGATGACGATCCATGACCATACTATTTTTTCTTATACTTCGTATTAATTAGAAATCTCTTACCTCCGAGTGGCCTTTCTCTTGATGATACCCTCCTGTTTTTTCGTCTTCTGCAGAATCTCCTTCTTCTTCGAAGAATTCGACTTTCTTCTCATATTCTTCTTTCTTATGGATGTCGTGACTACCTTTGGTGCTATGGCCCTTAGAGTGCTTTCCGGATTCCTCGTACTGAAATGAACAATTAAACCATGATTCCATCAGCTTGTGAAAACAAATCAGAACCTATTGTTTTTTAACTTAGTCCTACAAATATAAATATTTATGTCTCTGATATATTAGACTTTACTAAGTCCGACAGAGTTGGTATTCAACGGTTACGGTCAGGGTTTACTCTTCTTTATTCCCATTTTTTTGTTAATATGTTTTAGTATTTTATGTATAATTATATATAACTCAATTATTTAACAATAGGGAAAAGGAGAAAGACTTTTTTTTTAATTTCGTTTTAAATGCAAGATAATATTCATTTTGCTTTTCGTGCATACCATCATCAAGAAGAAAAAGAATCTACTTTTGTGTTTACCGCGTACAAATAAAAAACTACAATATCTGTGCCTTCCCTAAAGCATAAAGAGTATAGTTTCTATATTAAGTATATGTAATAAAAAAATGTCGAAGTTCTCAAGTTATGTCCCCCTTTTATTGATGTATCAAACCTTAGCATGTTTTTTGCCATGTTCTTCGTGCGCATGCGACCCGTAATGGCCCGATTCTTCTTCATGATGTTTATCCAAGTCACCGTGGTCATCATATTTGCCGAGGTGGTCTTCCTTTTCATGGTGGCCTTTAGCTGTCTTGGTTTCTTCATGGAACCCCTAGAAATTTCATAAAGTTTTCATTATTTTTTAAATTATGCTTTATCATGTTTTTAGTTTAATTCTTTTGATGATTATATGTTATCTTACTAAGGATTAAATAGGTATATTGTTAAATGTAATAAAATTAATAATATTTAGAAGTAGGTAGGTATGTACATACAAATTTAGGTATGTTTATTCTATTTAATTATGTATGTATACGAGAATTAACGCAATCTACTTGATTATGATTAGATTACTTTTTTTATGATGTAAGGTTGCAAACGAGCACATGGGTCACCAGATGGTAAGAACAACCGCCACCCATGGACACTGCATCTCAAGAATCAGAGGTGGGTTGCTGATCTTTGAGTATCACCCTCCCTAGAAGGAAGGGGGAGCCAGGTGAGGGGTGAGGTTGGGCTTCGGTAACCTCACTCACTCAGTGAAAAGCAACGAAACGAAAGAATTGTTTAAGATCGGTTTTCTGTTAGGCCGTGGTAACACAAGGAGGGATCCTCCAAGAGTAGGACGCCCGAGGCTGGCCGTCTGGGCGGTTTTTAGTTGAATCACCACATACTCCTGGCTCCTGAGTCCCCAAGGAGCAGACGATCCAAACTGATTTTCCACCCACACTCCCGTCGACCCAACCCATTTATGCCTATACATGGGTCTCCCGCATACATTTATAATCATATATGTATATCATGGAACGCGACTTTTTAAAATCTAGGATGTTTTTACTATATTCTTCATTTTAGATATTTTGTGACTGCTCACCATGCACGTATGAAATGTAAGCCGATTTAAAAAAAAGGAGTACGCGGCTCAAAGTATTAGTAATTATGTACAGTTTGGTTGTAATTACGTACGTACTTCAATATTTTTACAAAACAACTTTACACATTACATTAAATATGTATTTGTTAAAACATTAAAATTAAATAACAGTAAAATTAGCTAACTTATAATCAAAGTTTCTTCTTCTATTCAAATAAATACAATTGGAGTGTCTGTTTGTAATATTAAAACAACCGCTTTTTACTAAATGCATATGTATGTTTACACGGTACATATGCCAAAATAACATTTTTTACAATTTTTGTCTCTCTGTCTGTCTGTCTGTTTGTTCCGGGTAATCTCTGGAACGGCTGGACCAATTTCGACGGGACTTTCACTGGCAGATAGCTGATAACATAAGGAGTAACTTAGGCTACTTTTTTTAGACTAGCTTCGCCCCGCGGCGTTGCCCGCGGTTATAACAACAAACGCGGGTAACATCGCAGGTCTCAGCTAGTTGTATATATATATATATCTTGAGTACGAGTACAACTTCTCTGTAAAGCATTACTATACCCTTGTTGATGTTGCGCAGTCAATCTTTCAGTGAAGCTGTAATGCTCAAGAAAGATACCGCTGAACAGGATCGGGAAAGCCGATCCTCAGAGTAGGGCTTCTGAGTCCGGATGTCGGGGTGGTTTATTGTGGAAACACCACATACTCCTGTCTCCTACATCCCCAAGGACCGGAGATCCGAAGAGATTTACCACCACGTCAACAAAAACTAGGGCAGGTAGAGTACAGCAGTGGCAAACACAGGAAAGTCTTAAATGTAGCTACGAGTGGAGATGATTAATATCAACCTCAATATTTATCCAAAAAATCATTACTTAGGTTAAAAACTTTAAGAGTTTTTTTTGTTTTGTTAATATTTTAATAACGTGATTAAGATTGACCCATTTTGTTTACACTCAACGGATTGCTAACTGGTTATTATGAATTTTTTATAAGTAATCAATTTCGCCTTAATATAACCTCACAAATACGGCAATAATATATAAAGTAAATGGATACAAAGCCTTATTTTTATAGGGGTCAGGAACCATAAATTTCAAACTGCAGAGAGCCACATTCTTATCTTGGTGTACTAATACCTTCTATAACTGCACCTTTGACTGCACCGATGGCGTAGTGGTTTAAGCGGTCGCCTCGCCGCTCACTATTACTCTGATTGCTGTGGGTCCGATCCCCACATGGGACGACACTTTGTGTGATCCACAAATTGTTGTATGTTTCATGTATGTTTGTAAAGTCCCCCGCGACACAGAATATACTTATACCTAATGTGGGAGTTTTCTTTATAAAGAAAAAAAAAGTGACTAGACCCTGGTCATCTGGGATAAAAGTAATCCAAGAACTAACTATTATTACTTTAATAGAAAATACATATCTCTTGACATATTACAAGACACAACACATATACAAGCAGACATTTTATCTGTTAAATATTAAATTATCATCTACAATCATACAAAACTAAATGGTTTAAAATGTAAATAAAATCATCAATGAACACAACCCACGATCGTCAATTTCAACGAAATTGGATTGACTAAGCCTACTTGCGAATGTAATAATAAATGTCTGAGAGCATTGTGTAGATATAAAGATGTTAATTAAATTTGGTTTATAGCTGGGATATCAAGAGGAGTACAGCGCAATAGAGAGCAGTTACAGCGTTACTCACAAAGGACTGCAATTGCGAGCTGCGAGATATCGAATCAGTTAATTAAATCGCAGTGAATCCATGTCACTGTTTTACTTGACGCCAAACTTTGTTTTCGAAATACAGTTGAGTACAGCGCGCATTTTAATTACAAGGCAATTAGAGTCAAAATAATAAGGCGTAGTGTCGCATAAACTTTTTACTGTATGTAATAATATGAGTTTTTGTAATACGTCCGTGTAGTGACAGATTAAGAATACGGAATGTCGCTACCCCAATTCATCCCGTGGGTGTCGTAAGAGCCGACTAAGGGCGCAAAACAATGTAGGACACCAGCACCTCAAAAAGAAGGAAAACTTGACATAAACCCTATACAAACCCGGCCGGCGTGGTATAGTAGGCCAAAACCTCCCTTTTAAGGAGAGGCCTATGCCCAGCAGTGGACTATTGAAAGCTGTTGATGAATAATATGAAAACCTACAACGTATTTAAAGAAGTCGTGTTAATACTCGTAAATCAATACACAGACTCACATAAAACCGGTTTTAGCAATTGTTTTGTTGATTTTGACCGATTGAGTTGAGCGGAGAAGAACCAACTAAAGTAACGGACTGCTATGCTGTGGTTCGATTGCATAAACATTTAATATTTGATTTGATCTGAGTGTTTCTATGTATAATATGTATTTACGAAAATAAAGTAAAATTATATATGTGTTTATATCAATAGTACCTATAGCTTCTGATTAGTTTGAGATTAGATGACATTGTGAGAATGTGGTAGAATAAAGGAATAAAAAATCAAAAGCGCAGGTGCAGCCCAATTTGTATCGGTGGTCGTAAGGAATTTAATGTACAATATATTGATATACTTAATTTTAACTCATCAGATCTACTTTACCTAATACACACAATTTTGTTTTTCTTTTGGCTTTTTCAATATAAGTAATCCTAACAATAAAACCTATAAAGTTTATCTTATTGTTTCATTATGGCTAGTACGACCAGATGTTGTATTAAAGATCCTGATATATTTTGTTATGTATCTATGTAGTGAATAGATACTGAAAACTCATCGAATATTGATTGCAAACACTGTAAATCACTTATATTTTGCCCACTTTGACATTGATATCGAAATCAGGATAAAGAGTAGGTGGCTTATTATACTCGTATATGTAAAACATGCATTAAACATTTGCGCCAATGGGAGACAAGGGCACATAGGTCTTTAAAGTTTAGAGTGCCTATAACACATGAAACAATTTGTTAAAGCTCTAGATAGAAATGGTCGATATTTTCAGTTTATTTCTCAGAAATTTTTAGTAGACCTCAAATATGTAAACTAATTAATGACACAATCAATTTTGAGGCCTCTATGACTGACGACTTTTTGGAACGACTTTAGTGGAAATCTTTTATAGTGGTTGTGGACAACCACTATGAACCATCTTTTGGAAATCACAAGGGTGACAACTATATTTGAATTAGTTGAGGAAATACTGCATAGCTTATAAAACTTAGCCTGTATTATGAGCATAAAAGTATACTAGTTCCATGGTCAAAAAGATAACTTTCAACATAATTAAAGGGATCTTGAGTGAAGAAAAAGGAGAACGTTTTTACCAAGACATAAAGACGATAGAGAATAGATATCACGGCAGATGGGACATCCATATGATAGCTAAATATTGATGGGGCGTTATACTTGATTCTCTAAGACAATTAATTACATTGTATTTTACATTGGAGAAACCCACTCAAAAGACAATTTCTCTTGCGACCTCTTCAACAATAATCGTTATACATCATTCAGTTTACATAATGAATTATACACTTAAAGTCTTTCTCAAGAATCACACTATCTATTGGTAAAAACCGTACAAAAATCCGTTCTGTAGTTTTTCAGTTTATCACACTCATACAGACAGACAGACGCGGTGGGGGACTTCATTTTATAATATGCAAGGATGAACTAGAGCTGATACAATAAATCAGTAGCATTTCTGATATCACCGTATAATATATACTTGAAATCAAGTCTAAAATCCCAGGCCCCGAAATGATTTCCTTTCTAGGATACACCTGGTTCCCCGGCTACTGGTAGGTCCTGGTGGTAGGTGGTGGTGGGAATATCTGGTCGTCAACGCCCATGAATCATGTGGCCAACCAACATATCAAACACGACAAGCTGTGAACTAACTTAAATTGTATTTTTTATTCATTTTATCCGTCCCTAGTTGACTTTTCTGTTCCTCTACAAATATTTAATCTTCTTGATGGTCGCTTAATTTGCATACTAGGAACCCTTTCGCATGTTACTGACAAAACTTTAAAATAAATGAACCGAAGGGATAAAACTATGCAGAGTATAGATTACTTACAATCATTGAATCCTTCCTTTACTATATCTAACTTATTTATTTCTGTCTGTTTAAGAACTAATTTATTGTCTAGCCAAAACATTGATAAATATTGACTTAAGCGAGGTCGAGATCGTCCATATAAGAGTC